TGTTTAATAAACAATAATGAAACTGTTTTGTTATCTCAGTGTTGCTTATGAGCAGGAATGGTTGATTGACAGCACATAAATGGAGAGGAAATACCAAAATAATGCAATCGTTAATACAATCAGCAATATACATGTCTGCCCACTCACCCTCTCCCACACCCAGACACAACAGTGAAGTTATAACTAGCTGAGATTATTTCAGCTGTCAGGCACACGTAAACAGTGTTATCTCAAACATCATGGTTGAAATTTGAGCACGCTTTAAAGGGATCATTTGGTTTTTTTTTAACTTGGGTTGTAGGGCATTCAGATTGTACAGACATAGTGCATTTATATTTAAAGAGACTGTATACAAACAGTTCATTTCCTGTAAAAACTGAAGTGTATATTGAAAACAGAAAATAAATGTAACAGGCTGAAGTTGACACAGTCCCAGAGCATCAACAACTAGACACCCAGGGTACCTTGGACATCATGTCAACGTGGAAAGTCCATTGGTGTGTCTCAAATCACACACTTCTGTTAGTACACTTCCATGTAGTAAACTATGTGCACTATGTACTTATTGACATAGTGTGCGAATTTCAACAGGGTAGTGTTGTCTCAAACCAAACAAAGCAGTTGTGCACTCACCAGAAATGACAACCGCAAATTAGCTAGTTAGCAAACTAGCATTAGCATTCATGTCATCGTTCGCGGTACCAAATCATTACAGACTGCTAAATTAACCCAATAAACATACTGCTGGATTATACCCGACAACAGCATAGTGGTGCTTAGTGCAAAAAACACATGTATTTGTACAATGCAGCGACGTTCACGGTCGCACAGTCCTCAGCTGCTATTTCCAGTTTGAAATGTCGTCCCTCCCCTTCCGCTAAGTAGCCAAGATGGCGACCAATGAGGGCGAGAAGTGTCCATAGTTTCGTTTTGAATGCACCATCCGGGTACTCATAGTGCTCTGCATTTTTCCATACTTCTCAGTGTGAATGCACTTATGCACTCAAAACAGTAAGTGTAAGTACAGAAGTACACGATTTGAGACACAGCATAAGTCTGAATGAGAGCAGAACAAAAACCAAACTGAAAACCAACCAGGAAAAACACAATAAACAGAGATGGATGCAGGATGAACACAGGTGGAACTGACAAAGGACAAAGGGAAACACACAGGTATATATAGACAGAAAAATAATCACAAGAACGAGACACAGCTGGAGGAGGAAGACATGGGCAAAAGGAGGATTTAGAAGACTGGCTAACGACTAATACAGAACAGGTGTGAAGGGAAGACTCTGAGAACAGGGAAGGACTAATGAGACAGATGTGACAGAAAACAGGCGGGAAAACACACAGAGACAGGAAGTAAAACCAGACATGTCACATGAGGAGAGAAGCTACAAAATAAAACAGGAAGCAGATTAAACGTGACTGAATAACATGAAACACAAAACTCCAAAACAAAGTCCACAGGATATCAGAATATAATCAAAACCAGGATCATGTCACCATGACCAAACATCTATATGTGATGAGGCTGGAGTAAGAATGTGTCGACTAAACAATGTACCGCTGAGGAAGGGTCAGCAGCACACCTACAGCCACATTCAAAAAGTCCCAACTAAAAAAATCTCTATAAGTTTCAGTGTATGCTATACTGAGAATATGACATCCTACGAAAAATGCATGCGAGGTTGACAGGCTGAGAGAAAGCTCCAGGTGTCACTGAAAGACAAAGGACACTGTCTCTACCCTGTCTCTTACTGGCACTTGTGTAAGGGAGACATTGTGACTGCAGAGTTATTGTACCTTTTGTCTTATCCCATGAGGGCAGAGCCTCCAATAATGACCTGAGCGGTTACATAATGATTTCAACTGTAGTGCAGGTATTGATTTCTTTTGTGCTGACATGGTTTTACACTCTGTTGTTGTTATTTGCAAAATCCATTGATTATAACATCCATTATCATTTTATCTGAGTTCATACACGATATGATAGCAAAAAAGCAGATTTCACTTCAACTAAATGTGAGCTCAATTTAGGAGAAGGCAGATTAACAAATAATCCCACCCTGTTATTTAAAGGGACAGCTTGGATCTTTTGAAGACAGTCAGTGTTTTACCTACAGGAGATGTCACCCTCAGTTTAGAGAAACAGGCTGAAGTCCAACACAGAGGCTAAGCGATATACTGTTGTGAGGGGATCAGCAACAAAACATATTTTAGTCACCTACAAACAAATCAGTATCAGATTAGGTGTATGCTATATTGAGAATATTGTCACCACTTTACCCTTTCTGTCAGACAGCGATTTCCAACAGGGAACTGAACATTACATTTTTGGTGTCCTGCACCTTTTACTTCATTCTGCTTAACTTCAACCTGTTGTCCTTGTTTGTGGATGCTTTTATGCCCATTCTGCAGCTGATCCTGACACAAAAGTGGACAAGGAACAAAACCTATTAAAATTTTATGGTTGAAACTTGTTTATTTGTGCTAAGCAGCGTCTGTAGTTTGACATGGCAAACAAATTTGACCAATTTCAGCAACAGTAACGAGCTAAAATGCTGTTAATTAGGAAGTCCTCATCTGAGAACACTTGTACTTTTTTCTTGTATTATCCCAGCATTTCATACAGGCCAATTAGGTGTGACAGAGTGTTCCTACTGACAAAAACAACATTCGGAGACTGGAGTACAGAGCAGGGAAAATTAATACATTAATACATTTAATAAATAATTGTTGCATTATTTGCAGTTTTGTTTTTGCACAGCCATGTGCAGGCATTGATATGAACAGATTTGGGCCATGTTTACACAAAAACAACTGAAAATGGAATTGTTTGTCATTTTCATTTTGAAAAAAGTTCTGCGTTCAGACAGCAATGTTTTGATAAAAATCCCCCGTGCACGCCGATCTGCAAAAATGACTAGTATACATGCCAGTCTTTGAAATGAAACAACACCAGCGCTTCCTTCTACATAGCGGTGATGTATAAACACACAACGGCTACAGTAAATCTACACTTTCTCGCACATGCCTAGTGACTGGAACCGTAATGAGCATGTGCGAAAAGTCTCCGTTCTCAGAGGAACTGCAAGTTTACATGATAACGGAGACAGTGCTGTAGCCAAAAAAATGCGTTCTGGAACCAAACGTTGCATTTTCAGGCACTCAAAATGCCATTGTCGTGTAAACGATCAGCCAAAACACAACTTAACCTTACAGTTTTCGGCTGAAATTGTTGTAGTACAAACAGGACCTTGAGCAGACTTGAACAGTGACCTCTAACCTTTACAGTTACAACACATTAAACAATTGTTAAATTGTTTGTAATTTTGTTTTTGCACAACAAGGTTCAGGAATTGAAATAAACAGTTTTATAGTTTATTGCACACTTGTGACTATTAAAAATGAACCAATGTCCCCAGATGAGGACATCTTCTTTCTCCAAAAATTACTTACACTTACTGCACAAAGATGGTGCTTAGGTTTTCATACTTATCAGGTCCTACAATTAAAAATGCACACCAAACAAAAGCTGTGGTCTCAGGAAAGTATTGCTCTCTTCAAAGTAGGACACCAATTAAACCCCCAAAATAATTTAGTCATTCAACCTGTGTTTTAATCACACAATGATAAAATCAGATATTAAATAAGTTTTACGGCATAATCATTGGTTTTGGCTCGACTAAACTGACATGTTAAAAAAAAATGACTATAAAATATACTATAACAGTTTGACTATGTCAGGGTCCCTGCTGCCCATTTAGGTGCCTAAGTGTACTTGCTTTGTCGCTATGCTCACACATAACAGGAGACAAGTCACAAAACTTTACAAACTCTGCATACAGTATATGCTCCACTACAGAATAGAACAGGCATTTTTCAGCAGTTGCAAAAGGCTCTAAAAACAAACACATGTCTGCATTACCTAGTTAAGAGGACATTACTTATAGCTCATTATATGACAGCTTCTGAGCGGGTTCTGCATTGATACTGGTGACAGAGAGAGAACCAGATGTTCCTGTCCCATTGTTGGACGCAGGTATGTTTTAATGAGGTTTGGATTAGAAAAACTTTTCGCTGCAGCTGTGTTCACTGATCCAGTGGCAGTACAGCTCAAACTGCATTGTGTCTGAGAGGGCCTTAATGCAATATGCATAATTATGATTGAGGATGATCACATTAGGCTGTTTTGGTGCCCCCTCCGGCACTGGTGCCCAAAGCACAGAGCGCGATACACGTGCCTGTTGTTCTGGTGGTGCTGACTGTAATATGGTAAGTAAGGTAAGACTAAAATACTCAGACTTTTAAGCCCCTTTTCCACCAAACCCTCTTGGTATAATACCTTTGGAACCAACAGTAACCCTTCAGACTTGGTACCCAGACCCTAGTGTTTCCACCGCATACAGTACTCTTAAACTTGGGCTGGATTGTTGTCACTCACTGCTCCTCATTTATCGTCCACACCGGCATTTTCAGAACAAAATAGAACAAGCTGCAGTGAGAGTCTCTTTCTATTAATAAATGGTGGGTTTGTGCATTTAGTCCTTCTCAGGCAGAAAAAATAAAGAAATCAATCTCAAGCAGTTTTAATAAAATTAAGCCCAAATTAAAATGTGCCCCACTGTCCCCTGCACTGTTTCAGTTTTGTGGAAATTCATACTTTTTAATTAATACTGACTATTACACATAAAAGAGGGGTTAATAGGGGCCAAGCAGCACCCGAAGGGCACCTAGCAGGTTAAATCGGCCATTCATATTACAGTTTAGAGCTCAATTAATTTAATCAGAGACAAATAAATCAGGTGAATTTGAAGGAGGTGTGACTCACTGTGAGAGAATTAACTCTTACAGTAATTATCACGTGTGTTCCCCTGTTGTGACTGCTCTTATTTGTATTTCCTGTTTGTTTTCCCAACACAACAAACATTTCCCTCCCACTCACTCCCCCCGTCTGGCGCGCGCGGTCGGCAGCGCCACAGAGAGGACGCGAGGGCACAGGCGCGCGCGGTCGCAGCTCGAGCCCTTTTACTGACACGTCGCTCCGTCGAATCACATCAAAGGGAACCGCCTTGAAACCGCAGCCCAGCTAATTGTGGCGCGCGGGAGGCGGCCTGTATGCTAATGTGTTGGCAGGGGAGACGCAGCGGTTCATTCATCTTCTTCCAGAGAGAGAGGTGAGTTAACGCGAAGGTTATTGTACATGAGGGAGGAACTGCTCGGGACCCAAACACTGCCGCGGCAATAGCTGAAAGTCAAAGAAGAGGCTTTTGGTTTAGGAGCTTATTCTTCCTGCACACATTACAGGGTAAGAGGAGGATTTATTTATTATAATTAATTCATAAATGGTGTCTTTGTAGCGTCATGTTAATGTGTACAAGTGTGGTCAGAATCACTTGCCCTTAATTCCTAACTCAGAGCAGCAATAAGTGATGAGAAAGGAAGTCCCGGACATTGTGTTACTGCTGTGTTATCAAAGGTGTCTCACCAGGAAGGAACCCTTAACCCTGTCAGTGTTGGTGCGTTACACTTATTTAGCACTGCCATGAGTGGAGTCAAGGTTTCAGCTCCACTGGAGCACCTCAGAGAGCAGTCAGGACGCTCAGTGTCTTGGTCAAGGACACGCAGGGCTGTACAGTTGAACCTGAGACCCTGAACTCCCAGTTTAAAGAAAAGAGGGGCACTTTGTTGACTAAAACAGCCATAGTAGCTGCAACATTGTCATGCTTGTGTTGGCTGGTGTGTGGGTAATGTTTTAGAGAATGCTTGATACATGTTGGATGGATGCATTAACTGCTTCTGCACTGATGTGAAAATGCAGCCAGGGAAGCCAGTGCCAGTGTCCTTCATACTCTGGGAGCAATCAATGCACCGATAAAATAAGGCTACCTGTGTGTCGCACCACTGAGAGTGGACTCTCACTGTCTGTTCTGCACATATATAAGCCTATATAAGATGTAAATTGGATCAAATGTGTGTTTGAAGAATCTGAAGCTGCAGGGTGAGAGTGCTCTCTGCTGCGCTACCTGTCATAAGTGCATACAGAGGAGGAAGTAGTGAACATGTTGGCAAAAGGAGCTTGTACCTGCACAAGCCTTCAAAGTCATTATGAGTTGTGGGAATAAAGAGAGAAGGAGAGACAGGCGGAGAGATGCAGCAGGCTGAACAAGTGGTTGAGTTCTATCTGCAGGATCCAGTCCTCTGTGAGTGACGCCAGGTCCTGCACAATCAATAGCGCCAGCCTCCAGTGTGTGCTGTGTGTGAGGCTGCCCACATTACTGGTGGCCTTCAGGCGGCTGTGCATCAAAGGGTCATACCAGATGAGTTATTGCATCATAGCGACTGGCTGTGTGTGTGTGTGTGTGTGTGTGTGTGTGTGTCTGCGTATGTGTGTGCGCCCTGGTGGGTCTATACATAATGTGCATTGATTGTGTTCATATGTAATGCAAAGCAATGTTCCATGATGGTGGAAAGATACAAATGCACAAACACACCAGTGATGGGCACATCTGTGACAGACAGCTGTTTTCAGTTTAGCTGCCAGCCTTTAGATCTTTAGTGCGTGATGGCTCTCTGTGCCTCTGGACACACTTTTCGCTGCTCTGTCGCGCTATCTGTGTTAATTTTAGGTGATACCGTCTATCAATGAAAACAGTGTTGCAGAAGTATGATTGTTTGTAGTCTTAGCTGTTAATTAAGCCAAAAACAGAGTTGGTTTTGTTCTGCTTTGCTTCTACTGCAACCTACTTTTACACTCTGAGCAGACAGTGTATAGTTCTTGAGATTCAGGCTGTCTTAAGTGGTGCTGAGAATCCCATTAGGGAGCTACTACAGTGGCACAATTACAATCTTGTTAAGTACCACCTCCTCCTCCAAAATAACCATGATCACATTCTAATCTGCTCTATTTAAATGTGCTCCGTTTAATATCTTTAAATCTCCAACTAATAATTGTTTCCTGCATATAAACTGCAGGACTGCACATTGATTTATTTGTGGTGGGCCGCCATGATATCAACATCTGCCGCCACTTATTGACTTTTACTTTCTGAGCTTTTGGGAGCACTATTAGATTAATACTGTGCGGTTACTCATTGCATGACGCTCTCAGATCTCAGAGCGTACTCTGGGCACTAGGGCTGCAACTGACGATTATTGTCATCGTCGACTAATCTGTCTATTATTTCTTAGATTAGTCAACTAATCATTTTACCAAAAAATGTGTTAAAATGTTGTTAAATGTCAGTCTGTCTCTCCCAAACCCCAAAATGATGTAATCTAATGTCTTGTTTCATACTCACACCAAAGGGTTTTAGTTCACTGTCATGGGAGAGTGTGTAAAACTGCCAGTATTTTTGATGAAAAATGACTCGAACTGATTAGTCGACTACTAAAATAGTCACCGATTATTTTAATAGTTGGTTAGTCATCGATTACTCGACTAATTGTCGCAGCCCTATTGGGCACAGACGGAGGAGCAGAACGGCAGGTGCAGTGACAATGGAACTTAACCATTCATTGTACTGGGTGTAAAAGTTCCCCTCTGTAGTAGTGTTGTCACGGTACCAAAATTGGGACCCACGGTATGATACCAGTGAAAGTATCATGGTTATGAGCAGTATCACGATACCACAACAAAAATGAGGCAGATGTGCCTTTTGTCATTTATAAAAAGATAAATCATTTTTCTATAATACATCAATGATATTTCAATGGAATAAATTACTTATTGAAATATTCATACTTCAAAAACAGCATCAATAAGTGATGAACATAGGGGGGATCAAAATAAAATAAATAAATAAAATAAGAATCAACCAGCCACCCTCCTCCCCTGACAAGTAAAGAACAGTCCCTTCAATGCGGTGAGGTTTGTGGACCGTTACCTGCCACAAAGAGTAATGTGAACTTGTTTTCTCCTCTGACACAACACATACCTGTGTGCCGCCACGGCTCCGCTGTTCAGATACTTCTGGGTAGTCATGACACCAAGAAGAGGAAATTATTGGACCTGGAGCCGGGCTTCTCGGTTGCTGGTAAACCGTGTTATCTTGCGGTGGCCATAGCGCTCCGCCGTATTCCTGTCTGTGTCTGTGACCCCCGTTCAACCCACAACCGGCAGGATTCGCCTTTCATTTCTGCTGCTGGTTGAAATCTGTACTCACACAGCGTGCTCCTGAATGATTTCTTTTGCTTGCACAAAACTATTTTTAGTCGCAAATGTGAGTAAAATGCTCGCACCGTAGAGCTCTGTGGAAAACAAATCACTGTAGCATATATAAACAAATCTAACCTACAAGTAAAAAGAGATAAATAATAACTTTCACTGCTTAAAGATACTCAATAGCTCAGCTAATAGCTGACATGTCACTGGAAGACAAACCACTGCAGCAGCATATTGAGTGCCAGGTGGCCAGCGCGTGCCGTTATTGGATGGCGCATGGACACTCACCCTCTCGCAATTGGACTTTGAACTTATCCCACAGTAGTGGTACCGTGAGGTACTGTAGTACTACGGTACTCCAACATTATGGTATCATATGTACCGTGGTGTTTTAGTACCGCGGTCTACCGTTGGTACCAGTATACCGTGCAACACTACTCTGTAGCAGCTGTTCCTCTTCACCATTGATCTGATCTGATCAGCTTTGATCAGGACTCATCGAGTATCCACCTCAAACTCCAAAAACTGCTGCAGAGGAAAAAGAAGTGCTGCATTCACGGACCTGCAAAAACTTCCACAGAATGATACAAAGGGACACAAACACAAAAAGCAGTCGTCTACAACCATACATGAATTGTTATTCTGTGGGAAACACTGCACATACTGTGTAGAGTCGAGGAGGAGATATCAAATATACATTCTGTTTCTCAGCATGACTTTGTCGTTGTTTCGTATTAGTCAGTGTATTTAAAAGCCTGTCGATCACTTTGGTGTGACATCATGCTCCAGTTTTGTGTTTTAAATATCGCTGGTTTAGCTCCCCTTCCTTTATATTTAAATCATGGACTGTACCTCGAACTTTTTAGAGCACAAACTGCAGAGTCATGCCTGGTTTGTTAGCTCCAGTGCTCCACGCTAAAACTCTTAAGTCCACTCCGCTGAGCGATAATCCAAATAAAGAGCACACAGCTTTCACTAATACGTTCCTTATTCACATATACTTCACGTAAACAAAAGCTTCCATTGCTATTTTCTCCTTCATGGTATCTCAAAACAATAAATTGTTATTGTACATTCTCAATTAATCCGACCAGGATTTACAAAGCGCTACAGTCGTGTATATTGTTTAGCTTTAGAGCCTCTACAGCAATGCAACACAGAGACACACGGACCATTTTGGTGTCTGTGCTCTCGACACACAAGATGAGCAACAGGCTATTTGCTGAAGTATATTGTGAAGATGAAGTTGATTGTCTGGTCTTTGCAGTAACTGTTATTAACAATCAGAGGGGGGGAGAAGCTACAGGTACACATAACAGCTGACTGACACATCACTGGATGAGGAAACACATGATTATAGCACTTCCTCTGCTCTCGAAAGACCTATTGATCCATATTTTGTAGAGTACACTGATATCAGCTTGGAGCAACATGTTATTCTACAGTTCGATGTGTGTGTCCGTGCATGTGTGTGTCGTTTGTTTTTCCAGTCTCTGTTTTCTGTTCACAGCAGGAGATGAATGATGCAATGACACCCGCGGCCAGCATCTCTTTCTTTCCCTCCCTTTGTATCACTTCCATTTTGTCGTAAGCCTGTGTCCAGGTGTACTATGCATCTGTCTCATGCATCACCGGCTCATTGTGTGTGAGCTGCTGCATGTGTGTGTGTCCCTTGACTGATTGATTCATCCATTCCTGCCACATGCTTTTATTACCCAGGGAGACAGATGTTGGAATATAAGGATGTGTGTGTGTGTATGTGTGTGTGTGGTTGTGTGTGCTCCTGTGAGCCCATGGACCAGCTGATAGTGGTTGTTGAGCAACAACAAAGGAATGTTGAGTGAAGGAGTTTGGCATCAGTGGCGGATAACAAATGAACACCCACAGTTATCAGCGGACACCATTGACAGAGTGTCCTCCAGTCGCTTCACAGAAACAATGTATAGAAATGGAAAGGTAACGCACGCCAGGAACTGTGGAGAGGAGCTGATCTAAGAAAAATATTTAACGAATATGCCACCTTAAGTTTTGTTCATGTCCTGCTGTATTTCTTCCTCATAACACTGGCTGCCTTTAATAATAATAATAATGATGATAATAATAATAATAATAATAATAATGATAATAATAATGATAATAATAAT